GGGGGGGGGGGGGGGGGGGGGGGGGGGGGGGGGGGGGGGGGGGGGGGGGGGGGGGGGGGGGGGGGGGGGGGTGCCAGAGGGAAATAAAGACCGAAAGCAGGTCTGAGACACGGCAAAAGACACCCGAGGCGAGAAAAGCACGAGCATGAGACAACGGTAGTAATTCGCTCCGTTCGCAATCCCTAGACATCAAAGAGGGAAAACACGCGGGCAACAACCCCCAATGGATATAGGCAGACCTGATGGGTGCCAGGGTGTGTTTTGGGTTGCACCTTATCATTTCGTGCAAAACAAACACACCGTATGCGTACCATCGCATGCACTCAGCAAAGGGAGAGGCGCGGCGTTTTCACGGCGTTTTCGATCAGGCACTTGGCTGTACTGTAGCCGAAGAAGGGCCTCGCACAAAAATTGCACAGAAAACGAAAGGTTCTCTACGTTGACCGCTCAAGTCAAAAAACAATTGGCAGCCGATACATGAGAGAGGCCCGTTTTCTCGTTCCAGATACACTGGGAGACGGGTTCGAACGAGACATAAACACGCACACGGCGCACAACAGCCGGGCAGGGAGGAACGCCACCATCGTGGTGGCACGATACCGCCCGTTCTGCTTCCTTGGAGGGAAAAGTTGCGTGATCGGTGTTTCGTCACGTTTTGGGACAGATAAAAATAAAGAGTACGAGCACGCTCGTTGTTTTTCTACGCTCTGAATTCTAGTGTCCGGCATAGCGACCGTATCTCCCGCACTCTTTTAGATGCAACCGCCGAACACAAAAAACGCGGGCAAACAAGCACACGACAAGAACGAGCGGAAAAACGCAGGAAAACGTCTTCAACCCACTACTTGTGGACGCGACGCGCCTCGGTACTTCAGGCAGAACGTGGGTACAAGAAGCAACGTACATGTACCCGACACACCACCGTTGTCACAGCTCAACGCCAAAACCACAACCGAAAGCGCACGCGCCACGCCCTTTCAAGGCCATGCAAGCATGACCAGGCCTCGAGAGTCTCTCTCCACAAGGCAGGGGCACCAACAACAACAAAACGGAACAACAATCATGTCTGAAAACGTGAGACACGGGGCCCCTCCCGTTAAGCTGGCTGTTCAACACTGGCTGTGCAATTGGTTTGCTAACATCACATTAGAACACAATCACACAATGACAGGGCCACAGGGAGCAGAGCAAACGCCTGCCCGCTCTCTAGACTGTCACGACGGAAGACAACCAGTACTGCGTCCATACTGCTGTGCAGGGAAGCGTTGCTTCAAACACTCCCACCTCTTCTCGGCCTAAAACTACCGCGGAATTTACAAACTTTCCACGGGGACGTGTAAATAGGATGGTATCGCCAACAGATGCAAAACTTGCCGCACGGCAGTAGCATATACACACCTCTCAAACTCGAACGGGGAGGGATGTGACACCAACACAACAACGAGAACGTACACTTAATAGCATGGCATCGCCAGCAGGGGGCAAGACTTGCCGCACGGCAGCAGTACAGTAACAATTCTCAAACTCGAACGGGGGGGGGGTGTACTCATAGTCGTGCATGCCGAAGTCGTGAGACCATTGACCTCGCATCCCTACAAAGCCGGGACGGAGCACGCCGGGTTCTCACCGGACCAGGCTCTCACATCACCAAGCGCGAAGCGCCGTGAGATATTCGGCGAGTCGCATGAAGGGTGCGCTGCATCCTGCTAAGGGT